AAGCACCAGCCTGAAGATGGCGAGTGGGACCTCGCCGAAACGTTGCCTAGATACTTTGAATCTTACGCGGGAGAAAACCCGAATAACCAAAGATCCACATACAAATACCCGCGAGAACCTCAGAAAACATATATATATATAAATATATATATACATACATACATACATACATACACACACACACACACACACACACACAGAAAGAGAGAGAGAGAGAGAGAGAGAGAGGCACAGGCACACTCATGGAGGGACGTATACTATAGTAGTTCCCTCAACTTGCTTCCTTTGTTGGTGTGGAATTTACACCACTTCACTTATGTTTTCAGGGCTGGGAATCTCTTTCAGTTCTGATAGAAATTCAACCTCAAACTGATTTTTTTTGTCTCTTTCCTCTGTCTCTTCCTCTCTCTGCTGCTCTAGTCACTAATACAATTGTGCATTTTTCCAAAGATGGCCCGGTGTTGCCCCTTCCTGTCTTCCCGTCTTGGCCAGTGGCAATGCTTGGCTGCAGTGACGCCATTTTGTTTCCTCAAGAACAAGGGAGGAACCATTTTGCTTTTTTGGGAAATAATGGCTGATGTGAAAGTCTGAAACGTCAGCAATCTAGAAATGTGATTTTGTTTGCGGGGTGGTGGTGTAAATTCCTTCTTTATCTCAGCTTGCTGTTGGATTCTTTACCCATGGGCCATTTTCCACAAAGCTGAGGTGGATTTTGGCTGGCATCTTTTTCTTACTCCCCCTCAGGTCACTGAGGGAGGATGGATTTGGCAAGAAAGGCAAATTATTTCCAACAAGCCTACGAAACCGGGATTTTAAAAGAAAAACCTAGTTCCTGTTTTGGGTGTAATTGTGTGTGTGTATTTATATATGAGTAAAGCGCTTACACATCCTTATTTTTAAAGTACACGCACACACTTTAAAAATAAGGATGTGTGAAAGTTTCATTCTAGACAGATTTATATCAATTGAGGCTTAAAGTCTAGATGCTGTCACTATTATTCCTCAAATTTGCCATTTCTCCCCTCATATTTTTAAGAGCCAACCACTGGCTGCTTCAGTTGGATTTAGAATAGAATAACAGAGTTGGAAGGGACCTTGGAGGTCTTCTAGTTCAACCCTCTGCCTAGGCAGGAAACCTAGGAAACGGTTTTGAGGAAACGGTTTCTAATTTAGTGGCTTCGAATGACTCAATTCCCATGGTTCCCTGCCTGGATACCTGCCAAACAGGTGTGCTGGTTGGGAATTATGGGAGCGGAGACCTATCTCATCTGCAGAGGTGGAAGACAGTTTTTCCAATCCAGTATGGGCTTTAACTGAAGTTTTTTTAAATTTTGAGATTGGACTGCCATTTGTCAGAAATGGACAGATGGGGGGGTTGGACTAGATGACCTATAAGGTATCTTCCATTAATCTGTAATTTGTTAGATATAGATTTCTTTTTTAATCCTGCCTTTATTGCTCTATGAGTGATTCAAGGGGACAAACCTTCACAATACTTCTTCTTCCACATATATTCAGCGTTCAGCCATTCAGTGTTAGTAATAGTCTGTTGTTTCCATCTTGTTAGGTATAGGTTGGGATCACAAAATAAATTTGCGTAGAAACAGGGCTGAAATGTTCTACCTTTCTGGTGTTCTTCAAATGTGTGGGAAGTGCCATTTTCCTGAATTATCAGATGCTGGTTGTCTATCACCTAACATGTCCAAAAGACAAAAGATTGGGTGAAATTTTGGAGTATTGCTTGTAGAATTTGTTCTGCAGGGCAAAGTCTCATTCTTCCTTTTTTTGGATGGCTATAAATAGAAGAAAGCTTTTTAGCAACTTAGAGATGATTATGAGACTTTTTTACTATTTTATTTTTTAATAGCTGTTTAAGTTCTACATATTAAAAGGGGGGGCTTGCATGTTATTTATTTATTAAAGCCCCCCCCCCCCATTATGATGCTGGGCTCTCAAATAGGCATGCTTAGAAAATAAAACTGAAGGTGTGCCTGCTTGCTCAGATAAAAGATGAGGAGATGTTGTGATGATAAGGGGACTCTTGAGTTTGGGGACCTAAACTTATTGTGTGTGTTTCTTTCCCTTCTCTTCCCCAAGGGGCAGATGGGGTGGGGGTTTGAGGAGGTGGTAGGGCTCAGCCTTCCTAGTTTGCCTTTTAAAGACTCCAGGAAGAACTAATCTGCTTTATTCTTTACTCAGTGGCAATATCATACCCTGGAGCCCCAAACTAACCAGCCACACTGGAACCTAATGTGTCTTTGTGAACTAGGCAGAGCATTATGCATTATGTTATATTATGTTATATACAGGAACTGGGTATGTCTAGTTTAATGAAAAGAAGGACTAAGGGAGACATGATAGCAGTGTATCTCAGGGGCTGCCCCAAAGAAGAGGGGGTCAAGCTATTCTCCAAAACACCTGAAGGCAGGACAAGAAGCAATACACATTAACAGAGTTGGAAGGGACCAAGGTGGAAAGTAATTAAAGAGAGAAGCAACTTAGAACTAACAGATAACAGATAATCAGAGTTGGAAGGGACCTTGTAAGTCATCTAGTCCAACCCCCCACCCAAGTGGCAGATCCTACACCATTTCTGACAAAAGGCAGTCCAATCTCTTCTTGAAAGTCTCAAGTGATGGCGCTCCCACAGCTTCCGAGGGCAAGCTGTTCCATTGGTTGATTGGTCTCACTGTCAGAAAGTTTCCCCTTATTTCTAGTTAAATCTCTCCTTGTTCAGTTTCCATCCATTATTCCTTGACTGGCCTACAGGCGCTTTAGAAAATAGCTTGACCACTTTCTCCTCTCTGTGCAGCCCCTCAAATATTGGAAGACTGCTATCATGTCTCCCCTGGTCCTTCTCTTTACTAGACTAGCCAAGCCCAGTTCCTGTAACCATTCTAAGGAGAATTTTCCTGACAGAACAATTAATCAGTGGAACAACTTACCTCCAGAAGTTGTGAATGCTCCAACACTGGAAGTTTTAAAGAAGAGATTAGATAACCATTTGTCTGAAGTGGTGTAGGGTTTCCTGCCTAAGCAGGGGGTTGGACTAGAAGACCTCCAAGGTCCCTTCCAACTCTGTTATTCTATTTTTCTATACATTGTGCAAATTCAAAAAAAAAAGGGTTCTTGGAATAAACCATGGTTCAAATAGAATAGAATTCTTTATTGGCCAAGTATGATTGGACACACAAGGAATTTGTCTTGATGCAAATACTCTCAGTATGCATAAAAGAAAAGATACATTCGTCAAGAATCATCAGGTACAACAGTTAATGATTGTCATAGGGTACAATCAGCAATCAAATCATACTGGAAACCAGTCAATATAAATCGTAAGGATACAAGTGACAAAGTTACAGTCATACAGTCACAAGTGGGAGGGGATGGGTGATAAGGAGTGATGAGAAGATTAATAGTAATAGTAGTGCAGACTTTGTAAATAGTTGGACAGTGTTGAGGAAATTATTTGTTTAGCAGAGTGATGGCATTCGGAAAAAAACTGTCCTTCTGTTTAGTTGTTCTGGTGTGCAGTGCTCTATAGCGTCGTTTGGAGGGTAGGAGTTGAAAGAGTTTATGTCCAGGATGTGAGGGGTCTCTAGATAATTTCACAGCCCTCTTTTTGACTCGTGCAGTATACAGGTCCTCCATGGAAGGCAGGTTGGTAGCCATTGTATTTTTTCTGCAGTCCTAATTACTCTCTGAAGTCTGTATCTGTCCTGTTGGGCTGCAGAGCCAAACCAGACAGTTATAAAGGTGCAGATGACAGACTCAATAATTCCTCTGTAGAACTGTATCAGCAGCTCCTTGGGCAGTTTGAGCTTTCTGAGCTTTCTCAAATATTAATAGCTGAGCATGTCTTGTGATAAGGGATTGTCATCCTACTTTAGAAGCAAATTCTTGTGAAAAGACTAACTTTCTGCTCAGCACAATAGCTGAAATTTTAAATTTCACTGAAGCCTCAAGACTGCAAATTCCAAAACCTGAAGAAGGACTGGCCTTATTTAATTTGACTTTCTCCTTTTTCTCCTGCCCTCTTTCTTTTCCCTGTAGCCTTCTGGTCTTTGGCATCCCTCCATGTTGGAAGACATGAACCCTTCCGCCTCGGAGATGCACCCCTATGAATGCAACCAGAAAACCCATTGCTTGTCAGCCATGGAGTCGGGCCCGTCTTTGGCAGGAGACTGGGAAACCGCCGAAGAGGAAGAGGAGAAGGAGGAAGAGAACAGTCAGTATTTGAATGTGCACATGCGCCGGTCAGGGACGCTCAGAGGATCCAGTCACATGTATGATTCCTTCCGAAGGCATAGCTGGGAGCCGGGGAAAGTGCTGGAAGAAGACTCAGATTTTGACCAGCGAAGGTAAACTTTCATAATACCCAACGGGCTTTTGATAAACCCTTAAAAAAAAGGAATTTATAAAAAAATTAAATGGGAAGGTAGCCTGCTGCAAAGCATCAGTTTTCCTGAGATCTAAGAGAACGTTGGGGGTTAACTGGATTCAGGTAGACAGGAGTTTTGGGATTGGGGTTAAAAAGTCAGTTTGGCCTAGTGGTGAAGGTACTGGCCAAGAAACCAGGAGACGGTTCTAGTTCTGCCTTAGCCATGAAAGCCAGCTGGGTGGCTGGCCAATCATCAGGAGATGGTATGTTTTAGCCCAGGGGTCCCCAACCACCGGTCCGCGGAACAACTCCTACCGGGCCGCGGCTTGCTGGGCGCCGCCATCTTTTTTTCATGAAAAAGTGCTTCCGGTGAGCTTTTCCGGGTAGAAAGCTCACCGGAAGCACGTTTTCATCAAAAAAAGATGGCGGCGCCAGCGCTTCCGGTGAGCTTTTCCGGGTAGAAAGCTCACCGGAAGCACGTTTTCATCAAAAAAAGATGGCGGCGCCAGCGCTTCCGGTGAGCTTTTCCGGGTAGAAAGCTCACCGGAAGCACGTTTTCATCAAAAAAAGATGGCGGTGCCAGCGCTTCCGGTGAGCTTTTCCGGGTAGAAAGCTCACCGGAAGCACTTTTTCATCAAAAAAAGATGGCGGCGCCCAGCTGATGCCGGTACCGGGCCGCGGCGCCCAGCTGATGCCGGTACCGGGCCACGGCATCAAAAAGGTTGGGGATCACTGTTTTAGCCCTCTCTCAGGCATGAAAGCCGGCTGGGTGAATTTGGGCCAATTAATAGGAGACTGTGAGTTCTAGTCCTGCCTTAGCCATGAAAGCCAGCTGTATGGCTTTGGGCCAATAACCAGATTGTGACTTCTAGTCTTGCTTTATGCATGAAATCTGGCTGGGTGACCTTGGGCCAGCCATTCCCTCTCAGACCAACCCATCTCAAAAGGTAGTGGTTATGTGGAAAATGGGACGACGGAGCAATATTATTTGCTAATAATGTTATAAATAAATACATTAGATTTGTGTGCCATTCCTCATGTCTAGAGGCAGCTGTTACGTATGATTGCTGCTTTGAGTTACTTATGAAGTAATAAAGGTGGAGCAAAATAAATAAATAAATAAACAAACAAACAAAAAACAAAAAACAAAATATAAAATAACATCCACCATGGTAGCCATTCTGTCATTTTAATATTTAAAAGGTGACCCCGCTCCAAACCCAAAGATTTCCTGCTCTTGCTATAGTAAGTCAGCATTTGGGTGCCTCTTCTAATTTTTTTTCCATTGCTGAGTTCAGTATTGTGCCACAAACAATTCATTTATCCCAGACCTTTGTTTGAAGAGTTGCTAAAAATATTAACTGACTAGCTCAATACTTGTGCTTTGCTATGAAACTATGTGGTCGGACTTAGTTTTAGGGGAGGAAAATAAGGGGGGGGGGGAATTCTGCCTCTGCCTACCAGTATCCATCGGTAGTCATCTGACTAGCGTCCAATCAGTGTGAGAGAGAGTTGAAGGCTGTTTGGAAACTGAAAGAGTATTGCTCTATGAGCAAGGCGACAGCAAGGAGCCTGGGCATGGCTTAACTCAACTGTCCTGTACTAAAGCTGGTTGCTGCTGTGAAACTAAAACTGAAACTGAAACTCCTCTCTTCTGCTTGTGTTTTGCATTTGGAAGAGATTTCTTTTCAGGTGGGGAGGGGGAGTAGAACTCCTTAGCATCAGAGTGTGTTAATAATAATAATGTAGGAAATACTAAGGCTCTGGTGGTCATTTAGAAAAATCCTTTCTTAGTGAGCCCCTAGAAGCCAAGAGGAACCTATGTGCCAAATTTCAAGTTTGTAGGCTTTACAGTTCTGGAGATTTTGTAATGATGCGTGAGTGGCATTTTGCTTTTATATATATAGATTACTGTTGCAGGATATGTGCTTTGCTGCAGAAAGTTGAACTCCAATCCCAGAACGGACTATCTTTTAGTGAATGGGCTAAGCTCTCAACAACAATATAGCTTCTTGTTATATGTAAATGTCTTAGCATGTAATTACTTTAAGTCAAAATGTGCTTTTCTGATTTAATTGTGTCGAGACCCAGCCCTCTGTTCTAGAAACTGATTTAGGACATTCTTTTCTCCTCCAGAGGAAATGGTCCTGAATTTCACTGCCTAGGAAAAAATACCCTAGGAGCAAAATACTGTATACTAGTGTTTGGTTACGTTCCCCCCCACCCCTCCACGTTGTTGCCCTATGTGCTGGAGCAGTCCTTTCAATGTGCTGGGACCACAGCTCCCAGGTTCCCCAGCCAGCATGGCCAAAGACTGAGCATTTTGGATGGGAAGGTTGGGGAAAGCTGGTATCCTGTTTTAATTCTGGCAACTGGTGCTGTTGTTTGCTGGAGGTGAAAGCAAGGCTTCGCTTGATGATTCAGAATTATAATGTCCAGTGCCCTCTTTTTCTGGCTTTTGTTCCATCTTTATCTCTGTGTTTCAGCAGCCTGGCCCTGGAAAAACAGCTCCTCTTCCTGATTTATGGCAGTTTTGGACTCCATTTTGTCTTTTCCCTTGCAAATATGCAGCAGTTGGGAGGGCTGTTTGCTAGGATATATTAAAAGACTGAGTTTCCGTCTGGGACCTGCTTCCTGGTGCTGCCCTTCCTTTGCAAATATTAAATAAAATCTGACTAGATTGGCAGAGGATGGGGAAGCTAAATTTATGAGAGGGTGGTGCTAGAACTGACCCTGGATAGAAAACCCAGCCAGATGGGAGTCCGGGCCAGGGGATGATGACCTCACTCAGGAAAAAGTGAGTGAGAGGAGTTTGAATACATTATTCCGTATCTATGTGTTTGTTCATGGGAATGTGAAGAGAGGATGAAACTCAGTTTTGAGCTAAAGAAGAAAAAAAAGCTTGCATGTTTCTAGCCCTTATTTAGATTTAGATTTATAGATTTATATTAACAGAGTTGGAAGGGACCTGGTAGGTCATCTAGTCCAACCCCCCCACCCAAGCAGGAGACTTTACACCATTTCTGACAGATGGGAGTCCAGCCTCTTCTTGAAAGCGTCCAGTGATGAAGCTCCCACAACTTCCGAAGGCAACTTCTGTTCCATCGGTTGATTGTTCTCCCTGTCAGAAAATTCCTCCTTATTTCCAGGTTGACTCTCTCCTTGTTCAGTTTCCATTCATTATTCCTTGCCTGGCCTTCAGGTGCCTTGAAGAATAGCTTGACCCCCTCCCTCCTCTCTGGGGCAGCCCCACTGCCCTTCAATGGATGCCTACAGCAGTTCAAACCAGGTTTTTACAAGAGATACCAGTAACAAACCAATTAGAGGGTGGGTTTGCACAACCTACTGGGCTCAAATAGAAATGGGGGGCCCTGCCCTTCCATATAGTGCACCAGTTGTCCTTCTTGTCTTAGAATTATTCCCCCTCATTCCTTTGAATTACAGGTAGCCCTCGACTTACAACAATTTGTTTAGTGACCGTTTGAAGCTACAGCAGTGCTGAAAAAAGGGACTTATGACCCTTTTTGCAGCCTCCCCGTGGTCACGTGATCCAAATTCAGCTGCTCAGAGAATCTCCTATGTTGATGAACATGCCCAGGAGTGAAAGTAAAGCATGCATAGCTACCATTTCTTTGTGGATCCGTTTGTTAGATTCTCCTTTGTCTTTAAGTCAGAAGTTCAAAGCATTGTATTGTACACAACATTCTTTCCTTCTGTTTTCCCCATCGTAACAGCCAAGCGACAAGGGAGGAATTGTCCCATTTAGGGGTGGGATTCAAATTTGTTTACTACTGGTTCTGTGGGTGTGGCCTGGCTTGGTGTGCGTGGCTTGGTGTGCGTGGCTTGGTGTGTGTGGCAGGGAAAGGTTACTGCAAAATCCCCCTTCCCTCCCCACCCCACTAACCTGCTTTCCAGCTCTGTTCTCCTGTGCAGGGCAACCAAAGAAGACTTAGCCAATCAGCTGGGACTCAATGGGAGGTGGAGAAGAGATGGGGGCGAAGCCAGTCAGAGGTGGTATTGGCCGGTTCTCCGAACTACTCAAAATGTCCGCCACCAGTTCTCTAGAACCAGTCAGAACCGGCTGAATACCACCTCTGGTCCCATTCCCGAGAGAGCTTCCATGGCCGAGACAGAATTTGAACCCAGGTCTTGCCAGTGCCAATCCAACATTTTCAAGTCTATATGTTGGCTACTGATTCTGTAAACCCCACAACCTGTTGCCTCAAACCCGCCTATTCTATCTTTAAGGCCCTTTTTCGTTTTAGGTTACAGGCAGTCCTCACCTTACTACCACAATTGAGCCCAACATTTCTGCTGTTAAGTGAGACATTTGTTAAGTGAGTTTTGCCCCCCTTTCTTGCCACGGTTGCTAAGTGAAACACTGCAGTTGTTAAGTGAGGAACATGGTTATTAAAACAATCTGGCTTCCCACATTGATTTGACTTGTCAGAAGGTCGCAAAAGGGGATCACGTGACCACAGGACATGTCAAGCCCTTGTTGGAGTCCGATTCTGAGGGGGAGATTGAGCAGCTGACAGGGAGTGGGAGTGGGGCTCTGGTGGCTGTGGAAGAAACGGGGGACAGGCACAGTCCAGCTGGGCATTCAGAGGAAGACCCAGGCCCACCCCCTCTTTATCCTAGGGCAAGCAAGGAGGAACGGAGAAGGGAGCAACCTGGCTTGCAGGAGAGAAGAAGGCCCTGATCCCCTTCATGGGCTGCAGCTGGGAAGACTGTTTAAAAGGGCAAACTGCGCATGGCAAAGTTGCTGGAAGCAAAGCGTGCATTATCTTTGTCGAGGCTTATCTGGGTTTTGGCGTCCTCCCAACTGTGGGTGCTGCATTATTTTTTGGAAGTCTGCAATTTATTATCCTGGCCTGCCATGTTAATTACTTCAATGTGGTTTGTGTTGGTTTTTTTAAAAATTTCTAATTATCTTTACTTTGGGTTTGGACTGCATTTCTTCCCTTCGTAGACTATTTGTGGAAGAGTTTGATCTCCAGCCGAGGATAACTGGACATTGGGGCCCAAGTTGGAGGCATTAAAGGGAATTTATCTACTTTGGTGACTTTGTTATTTTTGTGCCAGGCCCCTGGTCATCACAGGACACAGCAACGATCATAAATATGAGCCAAGCCACTGGATTTTGATCCTGTGATCATGGGGATGCTGCAAAGATCATAACTGTGAAAAACGATTATAATGTTGTAACTGAACGATCACTAAACTAACTGTTGTAAGTCAAGAAATAGCTGTACTGTCTTAAAACAAAAGCTACTTTAACCCATTTTCAGATGCTTATTTTAAACCTTTAATAAATGGACAGTAAATATATTGCCTACTTCACGATTATATTCTTTTTTTTCCTTTTTAAAAAAATACACCAATTTTCAAAAATGTGCAATAAATGCTAATTTAGAAGCAGATTTACATTTGACCGCTGGCGGCCTCCTTTGAAGATGGCATTTAATATGTTCCTGGCTTTAAACCAAACTTAAACAAACTTAATTTTAAACTAAATAAATATTCCCTTCCTCTGTCTGAGGAAAGCTGGAATAGCTTCCAGCTAAATCATAGCAAAAAGGCTTATGTGATGGAATGTTTTAGGGAAAGTAAAAGGAAAAAATAGGTAACAAATTGGAGAGAATAGTGTTACGGTACATAGAGAGTGAAAGGTAATCTCCCTCTAAAGAACTTAATTTTGTGGATGCTATATAGAATTATAGAATCTTAGGGCTGGAAAGGATCTTGGAGATCTTCTAGTCCATCTCCTGCTCAAGCAGGAGAACCTATAATATTTCACAGAAGTAACTGTCTAGACTCTTCTTAAAAACCTCCAGTGATGGAGCGCTCACGATTTCTGGTGGCAAGCTGTTCCACTGGTTAATTGTTCTCATTGTCAGGAAGTTTCTCCATAATTCCAAGCTGCTTCTCTCCTTGATTAGTTTCCATTCATTGTTTCTTCTCCTGCCTTCTGGTACTGTGGAAATTAAGTCTCTTCTTTGTGGCAGCATCTTAAGTACTGGAAGACTGCTATCATGCTTCCCTCATCCTTCTCTTCAATACGCTAGCTATTAGTTCCTTCAATTGTTTGCGTATGATGTATACTGTATATGTATGTGATAATATAGTCCATGGCATATTTGCAGTATGGAAAAAAGTTCCCCTTTGCTTTATTTGTGGATCAAACTGTTTTGTTTTAGCCTCTGTTGCTGGGATGCTAACCAGGTCTGACTCAGAGAAGCTAAGGTTGGCCAAGTGCTGCCTCTTAGCCTCGAGTGGCAAGTGTACTGTGCTTAAAAAAACTGTCCCCCCCCCCCTTTCGTCAATATAGCATGACTTCGGGTGCATTACAAGGCATTCAGTGGCTGTATTTTTAAAACGCGGTTTTAGTCATCATGACTGAGCTGAGTATATAGTTCTATGTGCCAATGACTCAGAAAGGTGTAGGATGAGAGTAGACACGGGCAAGTTACTCAGTAGTTTAAGCTGTTGGCTAAAGAAGGGTTTGTTTGAATGTTTTTTTGTATGTATGTATGTATGTATGTATGTATGTATGTATGTATGTATGATTTGTTTGTTTGTTTATTTATTTATTTAACTTATATGCTGCCCATCTTGTGCTTTGCGGCAACTCTGGTGGTTTTTAACAATCTTTTGGAAATATATGGTAAGCTGCTTTTGGGGAGGGGTCTTTTTCAAGAGAGAAACAAACAGCAGAAATATTTTGAGGAGCAAAAAAGCTTTTGGTCATACCTACCTTTTCCTCCTTTGCAGTTAGTAGTATCCAGACAGGCTGCAGCCTTGGGAGAGAGGCATTATTCTGATTGGCCCCATTCCCATCAGTTTCTGAGTTTGATTCTTTTTCAAAAGATGCATCGTAGTTCTCCCTGATATTTATTATCTTCAGCAGCTCCCCCTGATTTATTAGCTTTTCTAGAGCCATGTGACAGATAGATAGATAGATAGATAGATAGATAGATAGATAGATAGATAATTCTTTATTGGCCAAGTGTGCTTAGACACACAAGAAATTTGTCTTGGTGCATATGCTCTCAGTGTACATAAAAAGAAAAGATACATTCATCAAGAATCATAAAGTACAACACTTAATGATAGTCATAAGGTACAAATAAGCAAACAAATCATGCTAGGAAACAGTTAATATAAAGTAAGGATACAAGCGACAAAGTTACAATCATACAGTCACAATAGTAATAGTAGTGCAGACTTTGTAAATAGTTTGGCAGTTGAGAGACTTATTTGTTTAACAGAGTGATGGCGTTCAGGGAGAAACTGTCCTTGTGTCTAGTTGTTCTGGTGTGCAGGGCTCTATAGCGTCATTTTGAGGGTTAAGGGTAGGGTTAGGATTGAGTTGAAACACTTTATGTCCAGGATGTGAGGGGTCTGTAAAATATTTTCATAGATGGATGGTTAGATGGATAGATATATAGATACCGATAGAGTGTGTGTGTGTGTGTGTGTGTGTGTGTGTGTGTGAGAGAGAGAGAGAGAGAGAGAGAGAGAGAGAGAGAGAGAGAATAGCAACCCTGTGAGGTAGGCTGGGCTGAGAGACTGGGAGCCTTTCCCAAAGTCCAAAAGAGGATTATTTTTAATGCCATTTTTCCTTGGTTCACACCGCATTGGAGCCTGGAATGTTACATGAACCCAGCCTTTGAATTGAGAGGGTCATGCAAACCCTCAAAAAGGCTCATTTTGATGACTTACACAGTTGAGTTAACTGGAATATATTCTGCAAAGCATTTCTGCCTGCCTCCCCTCATTCACAAGGAGAAATAGGAATGTAAACATTTTTTTTTTAGAATGATGGTGCAAAAATTATTCAGATTAAAAGCGGAAATTGTCTTGAGTTCCAAAAGCCAGCCAAGACAAATACAATATTTGAACAGGAGGGATGGATTGCCAGACAGTGATGTTCTATGCAAATGCGGCCCACTAATACCCTCCCCTCCAAGTGCAGGAAAAACCTGTTCTATAGCTTTTTTTTTTTTAAATAGGGAAAAACAGGTTGTATGCAGCAGTCTTTAGTAATGTCTGATGATGTCACCAAACCCCCTGTGAGGTTTGTTTAAAAATAAACGAGGGGCATGGATAAAATATATTTATGATATTTGGTGTTTTTTTCCCCTTAAAAATAGCAGAGTTGCCTAAGTAGTTGTAGGTAGATTTGAGGTACTGGGCTGCTATTGGGATTAAATTTTGTGCTGAGCCAACCCTGTTCCATAAAACATAGGGGTTGTGTTTACACATTACAGTCAACTCAAGCCAGTCACGTGGTAGGTTAATAGGTCTGGGATGGTCATTGTTGAAATGGTTTGCAAATTTCTCCCTGGCAAGTGCTTTTCGTGATTGCTCAGAATTGGGATGGAAGCATCACAGCGGGATGGTAAATTGAAAGGAAATGTCTTGAAGTTTGAACTATGTTGATCTGTTTCAGCTTAAGTTTGAAGGAATTGGCACCTGATGGACTTGACTCCACAGAGCAACTGGATGGGCATTCCTTGGGAAGGAGAGACCCCCGACGAGCCCCTATTGGTCATAGCAACGATGAACTGGGCTCCCTGATTTCTCAGGATGAAGAGGAGGAGGAGGATGGCCAGGGGATGTCTCAGGTAAGTTTGCCAGATTCCCAGACAGACAAATTAGAGAGTAAATTCCATAGGAATACACAGAGTAAACCCATGGAAAAGCAGACTGGGGGTTAATTCTAAACAAACTTAGCAAGCTGTAGAATTTGTCTGCTAGCTTAGATGCTCAGCTGACCTCGTTAAGTTGCCATAAGAGCAGAGCCTTAGAGTGAGCTGTGACAATTCTAAACAAACTTGCTAAGTTGATTTAGAAGTCTGACAATCAAAGTTAAAGGTACAACTCAATCAGGGGTGGGATTCTACTGGTTCAGACCGGTTCTATGGAACCGGTTGTTAAGATTCTGCGCAGTTTGGAGAACCGGCAAATCATGCCCCTGGCTGGCCCTGCCCCTCTCCGCCTGCTCCTCCCCTCCCCGCCCAGTCAGTCCTTATCACACATACGTGACATCAGCCACATGCCCGACATCGCTGACTGCATTCTCCTTAAGGTAATGTTCTAGAAGAAGGAATTTAACAGTCGTTAGATAAACACCAGCTTAGCCCTTAAAGGCAGAAGGAAGTGAGGAAGAAACTCAAGATTGCTTGGTCTTGATTCTCTTTCATATATGAGAGGTTAGAGGGAAGCTCTGGCAGGATTACAAGATTCTGTTGTTGTATCTTGCCTTTCTTGCGATTTCTGCCTCCTGATCTGGCCTAACTTGAAGGGCTGCCAGTAAGTTCCACAGTTAGCCCACCATGCAACCTTCCATGGAAGAGGAGAAATGAACCTCTCCTATTTCTAGGTGTTTCCTGAATGTTATAACGGGATCTTGCTTAGTGAGATATGGTTTTGGAATGACTTTTTAGTGATGGGATTAAAAAAAATTTTTTACTACTGGTTCTGTGGGTGTGGCTTGGCAGGTGTGGCTTGGTGGGCATGGCAGGGGAAAGGATATACTACAAAATCCCCATTCCCTCTCCACCTCCACTGACCTGCTTTCCAGCTCCTTTCTCCTGTGCAGGGCAACCAAAGAAGACCCATCCAATCAGTTGGGACTCAATGGGAGGCGGAGACTAGATGGGGGCGGGGCCAGTCAGAGGTGATTTTTGCTGGTTTTCTGAACTACTCAAAATTTCTGCTACCGGTTCTCCAGAACTGGTCAGAACCTGCTGAATACCACCCCTGCTTCTTTTCCATAAATGCTACTGTACCTAGATTCATAAGGCTGGTGCAAGCAGAATTTAGTCAACATTCATTCAGTCACTCACTCACTCAATCATTCCATCAGTTTAACTGCTGCAGTCAAAAGACATGGTGGGTTACAGCACTAAGCAGCTTTGCCAAACTGCAAAGCTGGCTTTAGGAATTGTGATTAGACTTGATTGTCTTTGAAGGTACACTAATCGGCATGCCTTAAAATGAAATGTCATTGCATACAGCTGTGTGAGTTTCTTCATCACTTTAAAAAAAGAAACAGCCAAAAGGCTTATCACATTATGGCTTATCAAAAGTCGTTAAGATTGGGCATGGGGTGAAGCAGAAGTGATGGGACATAAACCCCGGACCTTCCCTGTGGCTGAGATTATTTGTTTGTTTGTTTGCTTGTGAAACCTGTACATGATAACAAGTGTAAGTATGAACATAAGCAGGAACAAAGGAAGTAAATACAGATAAATGGGGACGGTAAGACAGGGATGGTAGGCATGCTGGTGCGCTTATGCACACCCCCTTTAAGGACCTCTTAGGAATGGGGTGAGGTCCACAGTAGACAATTTGAGGATGAAGCTGCGAGGGGTTGAGGCTGTAACCACGGAGTCCGGCCTTGACCACTCTGTTGCTGAAGTCGTATTTTCTGCCATCAAGTTTGAAGTGGTTTACCTTGAGTTTGTATCGGTTGTTTGCCTGTGTATTATTATGATTGAGGCTGAAGAAGTTGTTGATGGGCAAGACGTTATAGCAGACAATTTTGTGTACTATGCTTAGATCGGACCGCAGGCAGCGCAGTTCCAGATTGTCAAGGCCCAACATTTCGAGCCTGGAGGCATAGGGAATTTTATGTACACTGAGAACATTTGCACCAAGACAAATTCCTTGTGTGTACAATCACACTTGGCCAATAAAGAATTCTATTCTATTCTATTCTATTCTATTCTATTCTATTCTATTCTGCATTCTATTCTATTCTATTTTATTCTAATTCTATTCTATATTCTATTCTTATTCTATTCTATTCTATTCTGCATTTTATTATGTTCTATTTTGCATTCTATTCTATTCTGCATTCTATTCTATTCTATTCTATTCTATTCTATTCTATTCTATTCTAT